TTAAAAATTAAAGTAAAATTATTAAAAATGAACGAGGAGTAATTTCATTTTTGGCTCCATGTGAAGTAATTGCCTTTTCTTTTCGAATACTTTATGCTCTTTTTGTTTTTTTATTTTTTATTTTTTATTTTTATTTTGATCGACTGTTCTGTATGCTTGATCTAATTGAAATCAAGCAATATTTTCATGATGAGAAATTGAGAGTGATCAACTGATCATCAATTCCAATATTCTATCTGTTGGTCTCCTGTTCTTGCTATTCATGAGCTCACGCTGGTCTGAAAGAATCATTTTCTCATTGAAGGAAGTAAACCAAAATGGATCCCAATAGCTGCAACTTTGTCAGCAGTTCTTGGAGTAGCTCTGCTCAGCTCTTTTGCTTTCTTCATCTGGAGAAAGAGAAATTCCCGAGGTAAGCAGTGGATTTGGCTAGATTAATGCAATTTCCTAAATCTTGTTTTGTTAATTTAATTGTGTTTTTGGCAGAAGATAACAAAGAGAGCAAAGAGGTTCAACTACTTGACTTGAGAGGGGGAAACTTTGTGAAAGAATACCCAAATAACGATTTTCAGGGTGAGAGGGTGGAAGGATCCCAAGAGTTTCCTTCGATTCAGTTAGATATTATAAATGCAGCAACAAAAAATTTCTGTAATGAAAATAAACTTGGAGAAGGCGGATTTGGCCCCGTATACAAGGTGATTATTACATGTTTGATATGTACGTTGGCCTTTTATGATTTAAATTCTTACCTGTTGCATAACTTTTCCAGGGTACACTAGCAGATGGTAAAGAAATTGCGGTTAAGAGGCTCTCTAGAACTTCTGGTCAGGGGTTACTAGAATTCAAAAATGAAGTTATGTTAATTGCTAGAGTACAACATAGGAATCTTGTAAGACTCCTGGGATGTTGCATTGAGGATAACGAAACATTGTTGGTTTATGAATACATGCCCAACAGAAGTCTTGATGTCTTCCTTTTTGGTTTGACCCTTGAACTAGGGAACTTCTACTTCATACATGAAAAGGGAGCGAGACATGTCACCAACTGATATTTTTTATATTTTTGGTTATTCTCAGATTCTAGCATGAGTGTGCAATTGGACTGGCAAAGACGGTTTAGCATCATAACTGGAATTGCTCGGGGCATCATGTATCTTCATGAGGATTCTCGTTTGCGCATTATTCATAGAGATCTTAAAACAAGTAATATTTTGTTGGATGGTGAAATGAATCCAAAAATATCTGATTTTGGTATGGCAAGGATTTTCAATGTAAATCAAAGTGAAGCAAACACAAATAGAGTCGTGGGAACATAGTAAGTTCTCATAATATTCCCCCATTTTACTTTTCCTTCCCCTTTTTAGGATAATATCCCAATGATCAGTATTTTCAAATAGAGTGCGTCATTTTATTATTATTGAAGTATTATTATTACGAAAAATAAGTTTATTAGCCATACTTGTAAAAGATTAAGTAGTATGATTGTTACAGAAAAATGTTTATTTGTTGGATTTGAAAAAATTAGACAGAAAAATATTTTAAAATTATATGTTTTAAAAAATTTTTATTAAAAAATACTAAAATAACTTATTTTTTAAAACAAGAATGATATTATTTTTAGTCTTTTCACATAATACTTTATTAAAACAATATAATTTTAAAATATTTTTTATTTAATTTTTCTAAAGTTAAGCTGATAAATATTAATATATTATTGTTATTATTATTATTTGTCATCCAAACAAAGTAGTCTATAATGTTAAACATTGTAATTATGTTCTTGTGAAATTTAAACAGTGGATACATGGCTCCAGAGTATGCTATGAGAGGGCTTTTTTCTGTCAAATCTGATGTATTTAGTTTTGGAGTCCTGTTGCTAGAAATTATAAGTGGGAAGAAGAACAATGGATTTTACTTTTATCAACGCTGTGAAAGCCTTCTAACCTTTGTGAGTTTCTAACCAACCTTTATTCAATCTTCAAAAAAATATTGATAAATAAAACAGTATGACCTTGATATAAAATCAAATTGCAGGCATGGAAACTATGGTCTCAAGGTCAAGCAATGCAGCTGATGGACCCACAACTGGTGCAGTCATGTGTGGAGTTTGAAGTGCTCAAGTGCATCCATATTGGTCTGCTTTGTGTGCAGAAAGATCCGGTGGACAGGCCCACCATGTCATCTGTAATACTCATGTTGGGCAATGAGAACTTAACTCTTCCTAGACCTACAGAACCTGCATTTTTTGTTGGACGAGTTGTTGCAGAATCAGCTACACCCTCTACAGATAACAATATCTTTTCTGCCAACGAGGTAACACTTTCAGATGTGTCACCTCGTTGATTGTTTGTGCTTTCCCTAATATTTCTAATTAATCTTCCTTTCTTTATTAAATCAAACTTTGTACATTTATATTTATACTACATGACAATATCAATTTTTTAAAATTTTTAAAATTTTCTTTTGTTTTTCTTCGTCTGTCCAGTGTGATATTTGACTGGTAGAAAATTCCAACTTAATTATGCTGTTTGAAGAATCCATACACTACTAAAATTTTGACTTTTGGCAACAAATATCGGTAACATGGAATCCTTTCTTGTTGAAAAATTGTATCACCGACAAGGTTTTAGTTGCTAAAAGCTATGCAGTACACTTCTCCTCTCCAAAAGCTGCTCCACTTTCAGCAACAAGGGATATGTTGCTGAAAGTAAATATTAGCAACATACCCCATGTTGCTGATATTTTCCAGTAGCCTTACACCGCACTTGCCTCCCCAAATAAGGACTCCATTTTCAGCAACATGTCTTTTGTTGCTGAAAGTGAATTTCAACAACAAGAACCATGTTGTTAAAAATTTTAATCATTTAAAATTTAATCATCTGATAATGTGGTGGGAGTTTTTTTTATTTTAAATTTTAGCAACATAATACACATCAGTGATGAGTAAAAGAATTCAAATTCAAATGAGTTAAAGAATTCAAATTCAAATGAGTTTTAGCAACATGGTATAGGTTGCTAATAGAGGGTGAACTTTCAACAATAAAGGCTATGTTGCTAAAAGTTATTTAAATACACCAACCCCTTCTCTATGAATTCTACAATATTTCTCCTCCCGCATGCCTTCCTTTTGCTCGCGTGGCCTGCTGCAAATCCCCTTCTCTATGAATTCTCCAATATTTCTCCTCTTGCATGCCTTCCTTCTCCTCGCGTGGCCTGCTGCAAATCCTTCGGCCTGCTGCAATTCCTCTGGCCTGCTGCAAATCCTCCGGCCTGCT